TACCAGTTACAAAAGTTAAATGCAAACTGTTAGTTAATGAAAAGCCGCGCTTTTATAAAAAAAAAATATAGCGTTGATCATTTTTTTTTCTTATCAAAATGATTAACGAAACATGTTTTGACTTTATAAATATTTTCTCAGTGTTTTAAAAAAAATTTTTCAATGTTTACTTATCCATTAAAATATTTTTTGTTACAAAAAACCGCAAAGGCACATTTTAATTTTAATTAAAAATTAATATGAAAGAATTTTTTTATTATTCTCTTTAGTTGCAAAAAAAAACTGTTTAATATAAGTAATATTTATTTGTAGGGTTTTTTATCCCTTCGATATAATCGATAACAAACACAAACGTTCAGTTTATTGTAATCAGTAGAAGCTTATTTTTTGATTTTATAATACATTGATAATTCAATTGTATTGTTTTATTATTCTTCAAGAAACTTAAGTTTCTTGAAATTTCGTAACAGAAAAAATAATTTATTTTTTAATTGAATATCAAATAGTTCAACTTTGTATTTTAATTATTATTGTTACTCTTACAACATGACAAAACATTTATCTGTTCTTATTAAAAACATTACTCATCATCATTTCGAGGCAATACAATATTGATAAATAAAAAATAACTTTTATTTCCTCGAGGCAATTCTGGGTATAGTACACACGATTGAATCACCATTACTTACAAAACTCAATACACAACTCTGATACACGTTTGTATCTCTCGCCTTCAATTCGAACACTTCATTTAGTGTATTATCATCACCACAGGCATTTTATTCAACTGGTGTGATAAAACACACCTACAATACACCAACTCATTAAATATAACCTACTAAATATAAATATAAATGTTAATGTAAACTTTCCATTATCGTTTCATCAAAAACTCATCATTAAATATAACATCTTCAATATTTACGTTTAATCATCACGCCATCGCATCTATTTTAAATTTGATCATTTCAATAACGTGAAAACAATCGTAATAAATTTTATAACAAAGAAAATTAATAGAAATGAGGTTGTTCGTATTTTTTCTATGAATTATTTCAAAGATTAAATAAAGATGTGTTATACAATCGTAACAACTTTAGTTATGATTATCTCAAAAAATATCAATCTTTTCGATAAATCGATAATAATCGAACTTGTAGAGCATAAAATGAACTATAAAAAAGGTTTCGTGCGATTTTTTAATAGATGCGATTATTGATGAGTTTACATGCTTCACATTATTTATGAAAGTAATTTACAAAAATGACAGCTAAAATGACAATATTGAAAAAACTATTAATTTTATCGATCAATTGATAAGGACCAAAGTTATAGAGCATCAAATTATCTGTACAAAAGGTTCTATACAATTTTTCAATAAATATGATAATTAATAAATTATCATGCTTTAAATGGTATTAAAGAGTATAATTTACAACAATGCCAATTAGAATGGCAAATATTGCTCGAACTACAATCGTATCAAAAAATTTATAAGGATCAATATTATAAAGGGTGAAATTTTCTATAAAAAATCATTATACTTTTTTCGATAAATACAACAGTTTACAATTTATTGGACGCTGAATGATGTACAAGAGAGACTCAATGATCTTCGAGATGAAAAAAACATCTGTCGTGCAGATTCAAGTCAAGGGATATCAGGTTACCTGATGATAAATTTCGAAAAAATGTGTAAAAGAAGTTTAAAAGACATATAATATAAAATTATAAATGTTAGATGACCTCTGGACAATTGGACCATGTAGCCAGAGTGAATTAAAGCCAATGAAGTCCCACATCTGCTACAGTTGATCGTCACACGAGTGAAGAGACAACCGGAGCGTGCGGTTCGATGATAAACCAAAGGCGTGCGCGTGCACGCATCCAATTTCTTCCCCCTCAACACTCCCTACCTACCAACATCACACAGGCCTTTGTGTCTGCGCTACATGCAGCAGCTTGTTGTCCGAGATAGAAAATTTACTCTAATTGAACAATTTTACAAGAAAAAAAAAACTACTTTTTAATGAATTGTTTATCATTAAATTATTCGACATTATGTAATAATTATTAATTAGTTTATGTAACACTTTTGATTTTTTATATACACAATCGATTGTTATTGCAGAATACATTGTTTTGCAAAAAGCTATGAATTTTTATTTAACAAAAAAAAATAATTTTTTATTTCATTGCAATAGGGCGAAATATTTAATTGTAATTACTCTAGATAGATGACAGGGTGAAGGTTTTTTTTGACCGAATCAAGCAGGTGGAGTAACCTTTTTTCCATTCAAATATCGATATTAAAGAAGATGAGGTTTGATTTTAATTTTATCTGTCTAATTTTTTTTAAAGAATTCTCAAAAAAAATAAAAGATTAATTTCAAATTAATTACAATGACATACAGGTCATTTTATCCATGAAATAATTAATTTTATTTACCAACGCAGTTTTAATTAAAAAATAAAGTTAATTAAATAAAATTAGTATTTTAATTGTAAAAAATAATACGGTTGATTGATTAAATTTCCATTTATTTATTCGATTATTAACTTATTAACAATTTTACTTATCAATTATTATGATTAATATCTGCTCATTACAAATACTTAGAACGTTACTTTACTTTGGTAATGATTGATTAAAAATAAGTTTTAACCATGTTTCTGAAAACGTCAGACAGTTTTCAGTCCAACTACATTCCCTTTTTACTTATAAAAAATTTTCGAGCTGTGATATGAATTCTTAAACAAATTACCGTACGTTGTATACTTTTCGAAAAAATCGAAAAACTAAAATGTAGCTTGAAAAATTCATAACTTAATCGAAAAAGAAGCAAGAAGCAAGCAAAATGCAAGCTTTCAAACTCTAAAATAAAAATTGAAAAAAATTAATTATTGTAATCTATAGAAGTTTTTTAATTCAAGAGAAAAATTATGTCCCAATTTGTAAAATAAAGTAATCTCTAAACTATTAATATACATCTATTTATTCGTTTCAAGTCAATAATGCTATTAACGTACATATTATTTATAAACGTCGACTTACTTTGATGACGTAAAAGTCAGTTTTAAATTCCGGTATAATTCATCAAACTATTGTCCATTGACTAGTGTCACCACCAGCCCACAGCCTGTTGAAAAATTCATTGATAGTTCAGTGGAAGAATGCCAGGTATATAGACTAATAGCCCGATATCGAATGAAAGTACGTCAACGTCTTGTTGCATCTGTAGTCGTTCGATCACAATGACGCGAAGCTTTGTGTTTTATTTAGTCCACTATCATGTGTGTCGATCGACGATTCACCAACAAGACCAATAAATCAGCCATTTCGTGTGGCCTTTTGCTGTATAAGTCTTCTTCATCTTGCTTTGTTTTATCGCTTCACCATAACCCTACTCGTGGTGCTTTCATTGCGAACCTCTAACGAGGCGACCCGCACGCGCCCCGAGCTCGGAAATTCAATTCCAAGAAAAAAGGTTATGTTATGCAGCAAGAGGTGCTTGTTGGTGATTTCGGTTTTTCGATTTTTTCTGTTCCCCCTGTTATCTTATTTTATTTTTTATCTTCAACACCCTCTGGCGCTCAACTTCGTTAGGATAAGAAAAATGGCTTTCACACTCTCTTAAGACTACTCAGTTTGCCACACGTGTCTGTCGCTTCAACGGCTCGTTTGAATTTGGTAAGTACCTTCTAGAGTCTACATCTTGTGTTGCTATGGATATGGCTAGCAGATGGTCTCTAAAGACTTGGAAACTTTGATTTTCATTTTATCCCATCATGTCTATTTGTCATGACTTTATTTTTACCAAAGTCCTCCCTGTTATCTAACAACTAGGTCACTCCTAGTGAAACTTATATTTTGTCTTTGGTTAAATTCCTTTCTACTCCCCTCTAATAAGAGCTTTGTTTAATAAATGCTAATGCATCTTGTCTAATAGATGAGAAAATTTTTCCGTGGGAATATCTAGAGCAAATATTTTTTCAAAATTATCCATTACAATGATTTCCTGCTTAACTTTCTTCCTTGTACCTAAAAAAATAAAAATAAAATAAAATAAAAATGGCGGAAAATTAGTTGTTATTAGGGACAAATTTTTAGTTAAAATAAACATGAGTTTATTTTTTTTTACCTCTATATGATTTGAAATGACCCAAGCTCTCTTTTTGACTAAACTTAACAGCCCATAACATGAGAATTTTATTTTCACTGGTATTTCGTTATATTACCTCTAAAACTTGGAATCATCATTAAAATCTTGGGGACGTGATGATGAGTACTTGTTAATATCAACATTAAAAACAATTTTCCCTTTTTATTTCTCAAATTGCAAATTTCGTGTACCCTTGACAAAAAAAAATTAATTTCATTAAAGAATAAAAATGTTAACTTCAAAGAGTATAAAGAGTTATTTCGAAATAAACTGTGATGTACTTTATAATGACAAGAAAATGATAAAAAAAATATCCATCAAACTTAGAAAATAAGATTATTTAGAAATAGTCAAATAAATTAACATACTTCAACTTGACCTTCTCAATAGTATCACTAATTTCTCAAGAGTTAACAATTCAACTTAATCAGTGTTGTTCTTGAGTTTTCAAGGGTCAGGTACATAAAATAAAAGTCAAGGTAATCAGTAAGCATGCGAAAAATCATTTCAATTAATTTTATCACAACGATGTGTCTACACGTCTTCCATTGATGTTCACACAAGTGCCGGCGACTTGGAGAGTCATGTGTTTACCTAGTAAGTAGTGTTGTCAGTTTGTAGCATTGAAGATTACCAGAGAGTGAGTGAGGAAGAGATCAATTGAACGGGAATCAGAGTAAGAAAGAGCGTAAATAAAGGAAGAACGATAGACATTTAAAAAGTGGGGGATGTGCAAGATGCTGAGTACAACGTGGGACAGAGTAGGGATATATTTCCTGGTAGGGGAGTAGTAGAGTGGGGTGAACGCAAGAGTCGTGTAGTCGGTCGCAACTCACTTGGATCAGTTGTCCACCGTAGGAGTTCGGGTAATGTTATTTGTTCGGTGGTAAATCTCCTAAAACACGCGACGACTATTAAAAAAGTATAAGAAAAGTAATTTCAAGTTAAATATGCCCTACAGTTTAGGGATTCTACGAAGTTCTAAATTACCGAAAATATCCTAAATCGTTTCTTAGAGAAAAAAGACTGTGGGAAACAAAGTGATAGTGATTATGTGTGCGTGATGAAAGTTTTTTTTAGTTAAAAAACATCATATTCCAACTAGTGATTCAAAATGGAAAAACGCGTGTTAGAATTTTTTGTGTGCATTTTGCTGTTAGCATCAGCCTTAGGGCGTAGTATCACAAGTTTAGAAGCACCAAGAGGATGTGAATGGACGAAAGAGAATAATATTCAAAACCTAGGATGTCGGTTAAGAACAATTGGTAATGCAGTGGAGATCCTAGGGAATTTATCAACAATAGCAGCTGAATCCGTTGGAAGTTTGACACTTGAGTGTAACGATGCATTGTTTTTCGAGAGTCAATTTGATGAATCTCAAGATTTTTTGACGCCGCTAAAGAATGTTCAAGGATTAAGCATTGAAAGATGTAAGGTCCGTTACCTTCCAGGCGGTGCTTTTGCATCAGCACATAACTTGCATCGTTTTAGTCTTAGGACGGAAAACAACGACTGGTCGGGTATGTCATTGGAGATACATCGCGACGCACTTCGTGGTCTTAGCAACCTGCGGCAGCTCGATCTTGCCGACAATAATATATGGACCCTGCCGACGGAACTGCTGTGTCCCGTGCCGAGTCTTGTGAGTCTGAACCTCACGCGCAACAAGTTACAAGACATTGTGTCGTTGGGATTTGCCGACTGGTCGGCGACATGTACGCCAAGTTTGGAAGTATTGGATATCAGTGATAACGATTTGAGTGTTTTGCCGGACCGTTCTTTCAGTGGATTGAAAAGCATGAAGACTTTAATGTTACAAGACAATAAGATAAGACATGTTGGTGATCATGCACTTGGTGGGCTGTCATCACTTCAACAATTAAATTTATCAAGTAATAGACTTGTCGCTTTACCGCCAGAGTTATTTTCTGATACTCATGAATTACGTGAATTAATTCTTAGTAATAATTCACTATCAGTTCTTGCACCAGGTCTTCTTGAAGGTCTAGATAAACTTCAGACTCTAGATCTTAGTAATAATGAGCTGACGAGCCATTGGATAAATCGTGACACGTTTACTCGACTAGTTCGTCTAGTCATTCTCGATTTATCCTTCAACGCTTTGACAAAGATAGACGGATTCGTGTTCAAAGGCCTTCTTAGTCTGCAGGTATTACGGCTTGAGAGGAATAACATCGAGATACTGAGTGAGGGATGTTTCTCATCGTTACGGAATCTACACTCATTGACTCTCTCACACAATAAAATAAGTCGATTCGATCCAAGTCACACGGTTGGACTTGGGTCCATCGTTCAACTTTTTTTGGACAGCAACAGACTCCATACCTTGCATCGTCATGCCTTCGTTAATGTTTCAACATTACAAGACTTCTCTCTGAGCGGAAACTCTTTCACCGATATACCTGAAGCTATTAGGGAGTTAAAAAATCTTAAAACACTAGATTTGGGTAATAATAAAATATCCAGCATAAATAATTATTCATTTGTTGGTCTGAATGAACTTTATGGACTCCGTTTGGTGGATAATAAACTTGAAAATATTACAAGAGATACTTTCTCAGCTTTACCAGCTCTCCAAGTGCTTAATTTAGCTAGCAATACAATCAGACATGTTGAACAAAGTGCTTTTGCTCGCAATTCAGTGCTTCGTGCTGTTCGACTCGATGGAAATCAATTGACTGAAATTCGCGGAGTTTTTACAAGTATTTCAACCCTAGTGTGGTTGAATGTATCAGACAATAAATTACTCTGGTTTGACTACAGTTATCTTCCACAGAGTTTAGAGTGGCTAGACATGCATAATAACCAGATAAGTGAGCTTGGAAATTATCAGATGGTTCATGGAAATCTGAGAATCAAGATGCTTGATGCTAGCTATAATTATATCACTGAACTATCAGATGCCAACATTCCTGACGGTGTTGAGACACTATTTCTTAACAATAATCGTATACGTAATGTGGCATCAGGTACTTTCTTACGAAAGACAAGTCTAGAAAAAGTTGTACTTTACGGCAATGAGATCAAACATTTTGATATTACGGCTTTAGGGATTCAAGAAGTGCCAGCAGATCGTGAGATTCCAGAGTTTTACATTGGTGACAATCCCATTCTCTGCGATTGCTCGATGGAGTGGTTGCCGAAGATAAATGAGCTCTCGAGACTCAGGCAGCATCCAAGAGTCATGGATCTTGATTCTGTCACCTGTGACATGGTCCACGAGAGAGCAACACCAAAACGTCCTCTATTGTCACTCAAACCCAAAGACTTTCTTTGTCGCTACGATGCTCATTGTTTTACTCTTTGTCATTGTTGCGAGTTTGATGCCTGTGATTGTGAAATGACTTGTCCGGACAACTGTTCGTGTTATCATGACCACAGTTGGTCTAGTAATGTCGTTGATTGTTCCAATGGTGGCTATAAAAATGTACCAGAAAGAATACCCATGGACGCAACGGAAATTTATCTTGATGGCAATAATCTTGGTGATCTTGGTAGTCATGTTTTTATTGGTAAAAAAAGACTTGAAGTGTTGTATTTAAATAATAGTGGAATTTCTGCGCTTCATAATCGAACTTTTAATGGTGCTCCAGCATTACGTGTTCTCCATCTTGAAGGTAATTCACTCCGTGAGCTTCGTGGTTTTGAATTCGATCAACTAGAACAACTTTCAGAACTTTATCTGGACCACAATGCTATTGCTATGGTTGGAAATACCACATTTAATAAAATGAAGAGTCTGCAAATTCTCCGCTTGGACAGTAACCGAATCGTTGATTTCCGGCCGTGGGAAGCACTTGCTGGGGCTGGTGCAGGTGCTCGCGTTGCACTCGAGGGTAATGCTTGGAACTGTGATTGTGCCAATACAGCAAAATTGAGAGTCTGGTTAAATCAACATCAAGGAGATGCTGAGAAAATGTATTGCAGAGATGGAACTGAAACTTTAGCACAAGCATTAAGTCGATGTGGGGATCCACTACGAGAAGCTGTTTCCCGTGGGATTCCAGAGTCACCAGTGGTGGGAGGTAACTTTGTACCGCTTTTAGCTGGTGCTCTAGTTGCCATCATAGTCATATGTCTCATCATCGCGTTGGCATTTGCCTTTCGTCAAGATGTACGACTTTGGATTCATTCCCGTTACGGTTTACGTTTGGGTAAAATGGCTCCCCCACCAGATGAAGAACGTGAACGACTCTATGATGGTTACATCATCTATAATGAACAAGACCAAGACTTTGTATCTGGATGTGTATCAGCAGAGCTTGAACAATCAGGTCTTACACTTTGTCTTCATTATCGTGACCTTCCACCAGCTCATCCTCAAGAAGCTCTACTTTCAGCAGCCTCTGCTGCTCGAAGGATTGTTTTATTGCTCACACCAGTGTTTCTAGCCAATGAATGGCAACACCCAGAGTTCCGTGCTGCTCTTAGATGTGCCCTAGAGACAATCAGACCATCATCAAGACGACGACGTGTTGTTTTACTTCTTGCTGCTCAAACACCAAGAAATGATCCTGAACTTCAACTACTATTACAAACATGTGAAGTAATTGTTTGGGGTGACAAGAGATTCTGGGAAAAATTAAGATTCTCCATGCCTGATCCCGCAGACAACAGGCGGGACGGCAAGAAAATGAATGACAGATGTGGAATGAGAATACCAGCGCGTTACACGGCCGCGCCTTCAGCTCCGGCTGATCTTTGGACCAAACCAAACGCCGTTTTGGTTGCCCCGGTCCATCATGCACCCACACCAACCCCCACGCAGTCAACCTACGTTAGTTCCGCATCCAGCAGAACTGAAGATGAGGACAGCGGCGCCGAGCATCAACATCACGGTTACAGTGCTTTACACACTGCTAATGGTAGACCAGCCAGTCTTTCTTCACGTGGCAGCCATTTATATAGCACTATACCTGAACCACCATTGTCCCAGCCTCCTCCTGGCATGATCAATCCTCGTACTTATTTCGTCTAAACCATGATCTTCCCTTTTTTTCCAAGTCTCCCATTACAGTCCCGGTCAAGAATCATTTTTTATCATGCGGACTCAAGATATATTACGTTAATTATGCACCTGATCCGCTTTTTTTTTTACCTTTTTTAATTTATTTATTATCTCAAACTCTTGCTGATAATTATCTGCATTTTGTTATAATAGAAATATGTCTTAAGTTAAATTGACAACCATTATAAGCATCATCTCCAGCAGAATATCATTCAAAAAAATAGTTCAAAAATTCGAGTAAAATCTTTGAATTTTAATTTTAAAATTAGCTTGATAGATGGCGATGATGCTTTTGGTGGTTAGAAAGTGCTCAGATAATTTTGACTGTGACTGTAAAGTCTTGTACATAATTAGTTTATTTAAAGTGCGGGAGCAAAGAGAGAAAAAATACTATGGGGACTGAAAGACTGTAATATTCATCATTGTAAAGGTGTATAAGTGAGTAAAAGCGTTCTAATCTGTGGCTGTCAAAGGCAACAACAAGACAGTGAATTTAAATGATACTTAAAAATAGATAAATTTTTTTAATTGCTGTCGAATTTTTGCCGAATGACTCTTTTTTAGAGTCAACGCTTACTAGTTTTTTAAGATACATTCTCTGTAAATAATGTAACTTTTGTAAATAGACTTTAAGGGGTTTGTTTGAGACAAATCTCAACGAGTGGCCCCCTGGGATATTATTAAAAATATTTCCTAGATAAATAAATATAAAAAATATAAATAAATAAATCTTTTAACTATTATAATTATCATTATTATTATTAAAACAAATCATTAATTATTATTATAATTATTATTGAAAATTTAATCTGTTGTAAATAATTTCACAATGCATTTTATCTCACTTTTAGTGCATTTTAAATTAATTCATTTACCAAACTCATCAGCGAAAATCGTTTTTTTTTCAAATAAACAAATCAAAATTATTGAAAAAAATTATTTGTGTTATCATTTAGATATTAAACCCTGCTCTTGTAATGCAATAAATTCCATCAAATATCAACTTTCACTTTCGCTTGCGGCCATTGTTTAGTGGAATTTGAGACTGTCATCAGTTTTATTGTCTTTTCACTGGGATTTTGAAAGAGACAGGTCTAAATTATTTATGTTGAGTCAGTTTTATGAATAAATAAACTCTAGAAGAACGTATAACTTTCGAGTTTGGTGGTGAAGATTTGTTATAGGGTCAGCTGTGAAATTTTCTCAAGTTATTTGCGATGGATTTTGTAACGGAATTCTTGGAATTGTGAGCTGCTTTGGTATCAATTTTTTGTTATTTAATTATCAAAATTACTCATTGGAATGACTCATTGTCAGCAGCGTTCAATAAACGGAGACAACTAAAAGTTAAAAGTAAGTAATATTTAATTAAAATTAATGATTTATAAATATTTTTGACTATTTTTTTATACACTTTCGATTGTTAAAGAAAGACTGTTGTAGTTGGAAATCAAAAATTTCCCTCTCTATAAGATCCAACGAGTTCCATGTTTTTATCTCACTTAGTTTAACCACAATTAATTTTTGAATAACCATTACAATAATTAAATTTCCATCAGTACTCATTCTACTGGCTTGTTATCAGTGCTTGATAAATAAAGACAGCCAAAGTGAAAGGTAATACCTAGATAAAACTTCCATCGGACTATAAAACAATTTGTTTCAATTTTCAATTAATGTTTATTAATGCTTATAAAATATTGTGTATACTACAATGCAGAAAAGTTTAAATTTACTATCTCAAATCACTCTGTAATATATTTATTTACAAAATATATAAATATTGAATAATTATGGTAATTACTCATGGTGAAGCTGAGAAATTGATAAATAAATATCATATTGCATATTTTATTTTAAATATACATTTCACTTGAATAAATAAATCAAGCAAATACATATTAATTGCATCGATATTCGCTGAGTATGTGTGTTAAAGTTATCATATTTATCATTAAGTTATTTTCTACAAATTAATCAAGCACACAAATCTAGACTCTTAAGCTATCAATAGATTCCAGCGATGAACTTATTATTCAAATTAATATTGTCATGATTTTTTGATTTACTATCACTCTACATCTCTTATACATAAAATCTTCTGAGTCGACATTAAACGAAGAAAAAATAGAACAATGATTCGAGATGATTCAAACTAGACTATAAAATGCATTCTATCAACGTTGGAGGAGATTTGATATTGCCTGAGTCTCTTAGGCAATCGTCTCCTCAATAGTCTTTTGTCCTAGGTCTAGGTTCCAAAATACATTGTTAATATACTGATTCTGTACGTTACTTATAGAAGAATTGGCCTCAATAATATAACTGTGGTTTTCGTTTGATCATTAATTACTGTAGAACTTGATTATGTTACTTATTGGATCCAAAACAAGGAACTGATGTTGGAGACTTTGGAGTAGTTTTTAAAGTTGTTTGTTTTGAACTTCTAGAAGTTGAACATATCTGAAAGACAAAAAAATGGCAAATTAATTTGTTTTTCTTTTACAAATACATATTTATAAAAGTGATGAGAAAAGATTTTAGGATTAAGTAATGATTCGAAACTGTTTGGAATAATTAAAGAGTAATGATAATATCGAATAGTGTTTTATTAGAATTAATCTTGTATCCTTCATATCATTATCTAGGTCAGCTAAATATTCACAACTGTACTCATCAAATCCATCTAAACGATTACTTTTTTATCACAAATTTTTTTAATATCAATACACAATCCATCACAGTTGTACTCTCCGTTTGCACAGTCGAATTCCAACTCTTGATCATTCAATCTAGAGTTTAAATATAAGTCAATGGTATGCTCTGAATAACCAGTTCTTGAGTTTTTTGCATCAACTTGTTTGTCATATCAATATTATGTACTGAAAGCTTTTTTAATAGACGTGGTCCAAAAATTTCTTCCAGAGTTTTATTGCTTTCAGTGGTTAAAAAAATAAAAGAATGATTTACATTATTTTCTATTCTATAATTTTAAATATTAATGATAGTAATTTGAATGTAAGTCAAAGTACTATATTTTAAAAAACTCTCCACGATAAATAATACAGCTATTACCAAAGTTATCAAGTTTTGAAGCCAGTAGGTTTAAACCATGGCAACTTCAATCAAATTAATTACTATTAACTTAGTGCTGTATTTTTAATTAGTATTATGAGCTTGACTTCATTAAGAGTTGTACATAATAATAAATACTTTCTGAAAATTGAATCCAGTTTCTGATGAATCGAATCAAAAACTCTTTGATGATAAAATGTGCAGTCAATACTATTTTTTGATCAATCGTCTACCAAAACTTGTATACAAAAGAATGTAAAATTCTTTCATTTTTTACATTTCATGAATATAATATTTTAAAAAAAATATTTCTGTTATGTTGAATGGATGAATTGAAGTGGATGATGATAAAATCCAGTACTAGACAAACAAAGGTGTGAATTGATCGATATTTGAGGAATGTCATGTTCCAATAGCTAAGCTAGAATGAGCAATTGTGTTGATAATAAATTCGACTGTCATTGGATAGAGAATTTAACAACAAGCATAATCGAATCGACAAGCTAATAATTCTTATCACGTCTCAGACAGAAGCAAGAGTCAGCAGTAAGCAGGATATAATATCAGACAGCAACTTTGTCTACCCTTTGCGTACGTAGTAGAAATATTCGATTCTTGTATCAAATGTGCAACGTCAATTCGATTCATATGGCATTCGTTGGAACTCAGAATATGGTTTAGTTATCGAAAGCAAACCGAAAAATAAGCTTTTTGCATTTCTCATTGTCTAGGTCTTACCAACACTCTAGATGGCATTCAAGGGATGACTAAGAGCAAATAAATGTTGTATTTGAGATTCTATCAGCTGACATCAGATAGTATCATTTAGAGGTTTGATTAGAATTCCTTTTTTTTGTTTTGTCAAGTGATCTGGATTTTTTTATTTTTTGCAATATGTGAGATTTTCAGTGAGGTTCATTACAAGATGAATCATTTACTGAAATGGAAAAATTAGAACAGAAAATGATTTTTATTGACAGTATTGAATTAAAAGTGATGATAATGTTTAAAAATTGTGAACAAATTTTGTAAAATGTAATTATTAAATTTTTTAATAACACTTCTGGTGGTCGAAAAACGACTTCAATTTCGCTGAGATTAGAAATCCAGTCTTGCTGGATCCAGATCCAATCATTGCTTTATTAGTTTAATCACAGGTATTCTCAGAATGAATTAAACAGTGATATCATCAAGCAAAAAGACATTAAGAAATCAATAGCAATTTGATAAGTATTTCAACTAATTTTTTAGGCACTTCCGGTTGTTAAAAAATGACTCCATTGTAGTGTTTGAGATCGGCAATTCAGTCTTCTATAAGATCCAGTCATTACTTTATCTTTTTAACTAGTAATACTCTTGGAATAAATTAAAAAGTAAAGTCATTAACTAAAAACTTTTCGAACATTGCATAAGTTTATAATTTTGATTATGCTACATTTACATGCGATTATTTCTTAAACAATACAAAAGATAGCTATTGATATATTCATGAGAGTTGAAACAAAAAAAAGAAATTGACAATCAACTGAAAAATCGAAACGATAAATCCTTGAGTCAAATACTAAGTCAGTTCTTAAGAATGATTTAAGATAAAGCAAAAGCCTAGGCGTGTATCAGTTGAGCTTGAGTGCAATCTGCGTGAATTTGCATCATAATGAAGTAGATGAGACAGCAGAAAAGTTTTTCGACGATTGGAAAATATTTTCCAAACGGAAATTAGCGATTTTATCAAGAGATTACATTTAGAGGTTTTCAAGAAGTTGATGTATATCAGTTTAGGACATAATTGCGTGATTCTTTATCACTTAAAGGTGAAGAAGATGATGAATATGAAGGGTATAATTGTTCTCTTTCCGCACTAAACTAGTTCAACACTCTACTCTAAAGCTTTAAAAGCTTGTCTTGATGTGGCCGGAGTGCACCGTAGCCAGTTATAAGTTTTCAAGTTAGCTCTCATTTAAAACTGACGAGAGAAAAGTTTTAACGTTGGTGCCATCTTATTCCCGTTTACGTGTGCGATAGTGAAGGGGAAACGAACAAGATGGAAGAGGAACGATGTTGGAAGAAGAAAAAAAAGAGAGAGGGAAAAATGAGATGATAAGGATGTTTTATCTGATGATATTTCACATTTAGATGTCATTTATAATGAAATGAGACGTTGAATAGTATTTTTGAGTTTGTAATGTATTTTTTTATTAAAATAGAGCATTCTGCTATTGAATTCAATGTCGAAACTTAAAAGTTTGCATCTTTAGCTTTAAAACGTGCTATATACAATTGTTTTAGCATTTTTTTTTCACTGAGTTTTGATTTTTTGAGAAATAAACAGTCTCAGGTAATTCGTTTTTGAAATTACATCCTAGCTGGTTCAAAATTTTTTTGTCAGGTAAATAATAAGTATAGTTGGGTAGAAAATTGTCTGCCATTTCCAAAAACCTGACTAAGTGTAATTTTTAATCAAATATTATCATAGTTAAGAGCCTTTTAATTTCGTAGGTACAAAATCATGATAATTCCAATCAAATCAATCATAGTTTATTATTACGAATCAAAATAAATTTTTAAATAAATTTTTTTTTTCTAGTATTAGAGACTGTGATAGACATTATCTAGAGCAACACATGTTAAGTAATAGAAAAATTTTAATTCAACTCCTAATGAATTTTTTATT